GTGTTAGTCCATGCCTCAGAACAATTTTCTGCCAAGTGATGTGAAAGCTGATTTCATTGCAAATCATTAAAACAACATAGAACTTCTGTTTTGCTTCTTACTAAACAGTCTTTATTATACTAGCCATTTGATTGTATGACTTGATATTTATTCCTTATCACAGTTGCTGCATCAGAAAATTAAGTCAATATAACCCCAAATTCAAAACAAAGTAAGCAAAATCTATTTTTGGCATACATTAATGGTAGTTGAATAATAGATGGTGAAAGCAGACACGAACAACTGCTTGTTTTGTACTATCTATGTAAACCAGCTGCTTTTCTAATGATCTGTCAAGTTTCTATATTTGTTAGGGCCCAGCCTGTAACATTTCCATGGCTTCGGTGTTTGCACAGGTACTTAATTTATGTTAAAAATAATGTTTTGATTGCAGGACTTAACGTAGATGCTGTAGTAATCATGTAATATCTCAGCTGTTTCACTTTTTTTATTCCAGTACAGCTGTTTCAGTTTATACCTCATTGAGTTATATTGGCAACTTCAAAGATAATATTTTAGCAGAATTTTACTGGTATAATAAGCTACTGCTGGCTAATGGGGACTTCCACCTCCCTTGGGATCCCACAAGAAAAGGTTTAAAAGCTGCTACTTTAGAATCAGGCAGAAGTCCTGACACCTGTACTGCAGTTCTAAGCTGTTAATGGCTTTTTGTGTGCATGCATGTATTTGTGTGTTAACGTAAGACTAGCATTTTGGGTAAACAGTAACTGCTTCATATCCCTCTGGTGGCCTCATGCGAGCTCGTGCATGAGCTTCACAGTATAGTTGCCCCTCCACAAAGAAGTAGCCTTTTTGTTTCAAGTTGAGATTGCAGTCAGAGCACACAAAACATTCTGGGTGCCGGTATTTATCACGTGCCTTCACCACCGTTCCTCTATAGGGAAGCAAAGAAAAAAAAACAAACCCAATTAATCCCTATGAATGTAAAGCAAGAAGAAACCACAGTATGACACAAAATAAGTTATAGGTATGTATTTATCTTAAGGCTTTTAGGTTGTTCGTCTGGTAGTTTTGCCAACTGCTATATAATTTAAGGTTGGAAGCTTAGTTTGAGTAAGCGACATAAAATGCTATAGAGTTGATCACATAGTTCAATAGTTCATTGGAAAACTAGAGTCTAAAGAAACACATTGGTTCAGTTACAACACAGCAAATACAGTCTAACCTATCAAAATGATGACAAAATGATTTTAAAAACCACATTTCTTTTCCTCAGTGACTGTGTTCTCTGAGCTCACCATTATCTGTGTTTTTTGCTGAAGTTTGTGATGTCATTCAGATACAAGCTTGGTAGTTTTAAAATAGGCCCACAGAGCTTTCTGGATACTCCCACTGGGCTGGAAGAAGGATGCTTTACACTACCAAGAAACTTTTGAGAATTCACAGCCCGAGACAATGCAGCACAGGTAACTGCTGGTTTCATTATGTGTGTGCGTTAATGATTGACTTGCAAAAGGTCCTGAGAAACCTTAATTAAAGCTTTGATGGGGCATTGTCAAAACTGAAATAATCTGTATCAAAAGTGTGGAAAGTACAAATTTGGGATTTAGAACAATATATTTTTGTATCTCTGTTCTCTAGAAACATTTTTCTACTACTGCAGATGGAGACCAAGAACATTACTTGGAAAGCATTCCTGTAGTCTGCGGTGCTGTTTCAGGACATGTGCTTGAGCTAGAGATTTCTAAAACTAAAAAGAAACAACTTACACAATCCCATTCCCACATTTGTCACACAGTGGCACTTTCTGGACACCAGGCATGGCAGTAGGTATCTTTGTTACAGGTGCTTTCACACTTCTTGTACCCATGGGGCGTCCATCTGAGAACCAAAACAACCCTGTTATGTGCAGGCTAATATAAAAGCAGCTGATGCAGTTACTTTTCCTGTAAAACACACTTCTGGATGTATTTGCAGGCTTTTGCTTCTATCAACAAACAATGACATTTCTCTATACCAGTTTACTGGGCCAGATTCTACCTCTTTAGAAAATGGGGAAAATTACTGTGTAGCTGTAGCCAAAAAGCAAGTACAAAAGTGATTATATATATAATTCTCTCTGTCTCATAGACATATCTAATTCTGTGATGGCAGGTCTTGGGTATAGCAGGAGAGGGAGGAGGATTCGGTTTTAGCATAGCAACATAACATAGTCAAGACCTATTGTTAGAAAGCTTCTTATTTATACAACTAACCACACAACAAATTTGGAAAGATTAGTAACATGACATGAATATAAAATTATAGCAAGATACAAGAAAATGCTAAGCAAAATCCCACAATCTTATACATAGACAATTAGATGTATTTATTCTTCCTCTGGCGAATATTGAGATATAAAAGTTTTAAATATTTACCATTTGGGTTAATTTTGGTTGTATTTTATTCTTTACACTTACTGTAAATATAACAATCTCACAGCCTTTAGTAACATTATTTTCAAAACTTCTTCATTTGAAGGAAGTATGACTGTAAATCATATTGTCCTCTTCAGTTTTTATTTAGAATGAAGAAGGCATGGGTGAAACTTATTTTAGGAGTTTGCTTAAATTTCTCTTTTCCTGAATGTGGAAGAGAGTGTTTTCTTTCTTGGTGTCATGAATATATGCAGCTTGTCCCAAAAGTTCTCTCACGTAAAACTTTTAATCATTCAGTTAAAGTCAACTTTTTACATTAATGATCTTAAAATTTGAGAAGAGATTCTGAAGAATGTGATCCACACCCCCATTTTATTCACACAGGGGATTGCTTGCTGTAAAAGCAAGGGGGGGGGTGGTGGGGAATGTTAGGAGACTGGTGTGCTATCTATAAGATTCAGAATGACATGGGCTTTCAGAAATTCTTATAGCTCTGATTGCTCATGTTTTCTTCTCTGATTCCCCCTTCCCACTAACATTTAAGAATGCTTTGAACAGGTAGAATATGTCATTATTAACCACCTTCCTCGGAGACTAAATTCTGGAGCACCTTAAAGGAGCCAGACTGGCGAGGTTGACTGGGCTCCTCCTGGTTGGTATGCAGCATCTTGTACACATCAGACTGAGGCACTGAGTTGGGAGATGGTTCACTGTATCACAGGGAGGAAGAGCAGATAAAGCAGTTAAACAAAAATAACTTTAAAGCAATAGGTCTACCAGGCATAGAATATGATTCAGGAAACAAACATAGACACAATATGTTTCTACAACTACTGAAAGATTCTTTCTTCCAGGTTGCATTGCTTTATAAAGCCTCTCGGTCTAAAAAGTGCTGGAAAAAAATCTATGCAATTGTTTTGAAAATAAATCTACAAACTCATGAAAGTATATTTCCATAATTACTCTTCTGGCTCTAACAGCGTTTGGAAATAGGCTGATACCTGTGTTTTAACCTCAAAGCAGTTGCGTTCCTGTAATCTACTGCAGTATTACCAGGTGCTCTTTGGTACGGTATCCAGAAGTTCCGTTTTCATAGCAGCTGGCCTCAAGAATGTTGTTAAAATCACAGCTCATATCTAAGCAAACGAAGCTTTTGGGAGGTTATCATGACATGAAGGTGTTCTTCCTTTTCTAAGTTGGCTCGATCATTAGTTAATATAGTGATTATTTGGCCAAGATAATTGTTACTTATTTAACTTATGGAGGTGACAAAAAGGAGTGAAGTAGGTATTGCGTAGTAGGAAGCATTGTAAGGTGATCACTGATGAATGGAGATTCTATTTCTTAGTTTAATTAGAATGGGACATGGCTTACTTTTTGTAATGCCAGTTTTATGATAAAAATGTAAATTATTGTCCAAACAACTGTTGATGGTTGAATTTCCAATGACCCGTGAGCCAATGATTTTACCAAGAGTATTTCATGGTGTTTTAAACTGTCCTGAATGTTTTAAATTGGTCATGATAACTAACATCCTAAGTAGCTGAGAGGAAGAGTAGATGACTATATGCACTGGCAGGAATGCATATATATATATATATATATATATATGCACTTGAGCACAAGTCTTATGAGGAGTGGCTGAGGGAACTGGGGTTGTTCAGCCTGGAGAAGAGGAGGCTGAGAGGAGGCCTTATTGCCCTCTACAACTGCCTGACAGGAGGCTGTAGTGAGGTGGGGGTCAGCCTCTTCTCCCTGGTAACAGACGATAGGATGAGGGGAAATGGTCTGAAGTTGCGCCAGGGCAGGTTTAGGCTAGACATTAGGAAAACCTTCTTCACGGAAAGGGCTGTCAGGCTCTGGAATGGGCTGCCCAGGGAGGTGGTCAATCCCCCATCCCTGGAGGTATTTAAAAGATGGGTAGGTGAAGTGCTTAGGGACATGGTTTAGTGGTGGGACGGCAGTGCTAGGTTAACGGTTGGACGTGATGATCTTAAAGGTCTTTTCCAACCTAGACGATTCTATGATTCTATGAATTAGGCTGAATGTGTGGCATCTGTGAATTTCAAACTACTACTGGGACTAATTAGAAAGGTCCAAATTTGCTTCGATGAAGTCTGCTATCTCAGTGATATATGCATAAATGTCATATTTAAATTTCCTTTTACAACTGGCCTCCTGCTGTCTGTTAAACCTTAGGTAACTTTCCACTGGAAATAAGCAACTCATTCCACAAGGAATTAGACTGGAATTTGCTCTATGTTGTTTGGTTTGCTTCCCAGGGTAGCATCTAAGCTGTCAAATAGCAGGTAAGAGCAGTGGCAATTGGGCAATGACCCCTGTTGCTTATGTTAATTGTTTGCATCTTCACTGATCAACAGATTTCTCTGAGCTGTCTTTAAGCTGGTGAAGAAAATCCCACTTTCTTCTCTCATCACAAGCTTTTAGTGAAAAGAAGGAGCTTAGTTTTTGCAGTTCTCGCCAATGGATAATTAAAACATTGATTCTCTCCTCTTTACTAAAATATTTCTAAACATAAAACAAGTGATAATACAATTACATATGGAAGGCAAAACAACAGACAGAAAGGTGTGAGAGAACATTTCTAAATGCCTACATAGTGAAAACCAATCCCACAAACAAAAACGACATTTCAAACCTGTGTAGAGAGTCAGTTCTCAAACTGGGAATGCCACTGGCATTTGTGAAATCTGGTTACTCTGGGCTTAATCCATGATTTCAGAATAAAGAAAAAGCAATTTTTTCTTTAATTGTTGTGATTGAGGATAAATATTAATGCAGTAGAGTAACAACACTCTGCAAAGGCTTCATGAACTGCAGTTTTCATTTCATCAGACAGAGTGAGCTTAAATACTTCTATATAAGTATGATTTTTATGGTTAGTAACAGCCCAATTCTGCAAGGTGCTGAAGAAGGCTCATTGGTGCCAGTGATTATTGCTTATTTAAAATATTAGTAATTAGCTTTAGTTTACACCATACATACTATGAATTATTAACTTAAGTACGGTTGTAAAACAGAAAAATAAGTTACTATTATGCAAAAGTAAAGATGAAGCAACATGAATGATGAATTGTCCCTTGAATAAAAGAATAGTGCTTTAAAACTTTTTATTGTATAATCATCATTATTATACAGATACATAAGGTTCCTACCTGACTTTTAGTCATTGCAATGGATAAAATTCATAAGTCAGGGATGGATTATTAGGCCTACAAAGTCAATTCCGTCTCTTTTTGGACAAGAGCTACTCATACTGAATGAGTTGTCCTGAATGGAAGTTAAGTATCTAGAACGCTACAAGTATCCACAAGATTTCCTAAGCTTCATAACCTGAATTTCAACAGTTGAAGTAAAACATAGTTAATATTTTATTAATTATTAATTTATTAAATAATTAAGATAATAGTTTTGAATTTTGGTGGGAATCAGAATTTTGATTTGGTGTGGTCAGTCAGCTAATAGTCCAAGTAGTAAAATCAGTTTTTATTTATTAGCTACAAATAGATGATTATTTCCTATGAAATATTTATTTATAAATTCAGAAAGACTCCTTTAATACTTTGGGTTAAAAATCGTAAATTACTAATATTTTAATGAAAATATTGAATAGCTTTACATGACTTAGGTTCTCTCTAACCCTTTTGCCCATTTTCTGTAGAAATGGTGTGATATTATTATTAAAGCTCATGATTTTTGGTATTTTCTAAATTCATGTATTCATAAATATTAAAGATACTGCTCTAATTACCTTATTATGGGTGTTTCCCCCAGAGCTGTAGAAACTTGGCCTTGCAGTGTTTCCATGATATTTTCATCTGAGTACAACTGCATAGGTGTGTTAAACTGAGCGTGTACAATCTTGACACCGGGAAGCTCCATTTCCAAGGGAATGTTAGGGGCCATCTTAGACACTGCTTTCAGCTCGGTCGGGCAGATAGAGCTAACCGTGCTAATTGAAGAGGGGGTACTGCGTCCACTGCCACACTCAATCCCCGAAGGAGTGCTGCATCCACTGTGTTAATACCCAGATTACAGAAGAGTGCACAATGCATATCGGATTATAGAGAATAAAGACAAAAGTACAGGAATACAGTGATGTTAACAGGGCTGAAAAGCGTAAATAGAACAGAGAGAGAAAAGCAAAAGTATAGAAAGTAGAGAAAAGCAAAAGTATGTGTGTTCATTGGAAAGTATTTTCCTGTAAAAAGAATCAATGCCAGTTATAAAGCAAACCTTAAAATTCTGGCATGCATTTTCTTTAAAGATAGTAAAAATTCTTTGATGGATTAAATAATTTAGAACATAATGTTACTTTACATTTTTAATGCTAGATTTTATTGAGGATTAATTAAACCTCCCTAAAATTCTTTGTTCTAGGTAGTTCTTAACACCTACAAAAGGGTAGCATGCCGAGGTTATGTGAGTTCTCTGTGGCTGTGACAGAATAAACACCTGCAGCACTGGAATCCCAGGCACATCATTCCAGTCCTGTACCTCACAGCCAAATCAGTCCACAGTTGAAGAGACTACTATAAATTAGTGTAAAATAACACATGTGACATTTCCTAGATTTCCTTAAATTCTATGATAAGACATTTATTGATATTTTAAAATCAGTTTAACTATATATATATATATATATATAAATATTTGTTGAACATTTCAAAGAAGAAAAGATACTAAACCAGGCAGGCATACTTTTGCATTTCTAAATTACAGTGTTTCCAGTGAAATGTAAAGTGGTCCTTCACAAGAACAATGGATTTGCATTCAGAGAATTAATTTTACTGCTTTTGAAGTAAATTTTACATATAATATATATCTATTAAAAAAGATGTGCAGTTTTTTAGGAATATTAATGTTGCTTGGCGTTACTGAAGTAAAGTTACTGCACACCAATTTGACATTTCTGGAAAAGGATTAGTAAAATAATGTGAACATTAAGCCCAAAGTCTTTTTCAGTGTCACTATTTTGAACACTTCAGTCTTTTCCCCATAGGACCTCAGAGGCTCTTTGTTATGGGATATTTCTTTGCCATAACCAAGGCTTCCCTTAATCTCTTTCTTCCAGCCTCCATATCAGGGTTGTGGTTAGTTCTTTCCAAGTGGAATGGTTCTGTGTAAACCTGGGAGAATACTCTATTTCCCGGTTTGATAGTACAGTACTTTGCCCAGTAGCTATTCTTGGGTGAAGAGGACGACCCCAAATTCTCCCTTTGATTCAGAGGGGAATTTGTGGAGGACCACTTTCTTAAAAATGTAAAGGGAAATATATACTCTACCATCAAAAACATATCAAAAGAAAGATAATTCCAGAAATGGTAGGCAAGCCCTAAAGCAAAAGTACAGTTCTGCATCATCGCCTAGCATGAGCCGGCTAAAAAATTCATATGGGGCTAACCTATAAATTTGCAGTCTTGTCTTTTAGAATAATCAAGGCTGCCTTTAGATCCTGCAGTAGAGTAAGTTTTGTCAGTGCTGGTAGTGTTAGTAAATGGAAAGTAGCAGGAAAAGGCTAGAAAAAGCACAACTCTTACTATAAGCAGCCAAAGTAATGTTAAACCAGAATGAATTATAAGTAAAATATAAATAAAATAATGTATTAAATATAATTTCCAGTTAGTTTTGCCAGAGGAAAGTCCAAAGTCATGGCTAATGTCAAATCCGTTATGTCAAACCCCCACGCCAGAATCAGCTCAAAGTCCTGTTTAGCCTCAGCTCTCTATCCTAAAGGGATAAGTACAGTCGAGGTGGTGGTTTGGGTTTTGCTGTGTTTAGCAGAGGATATCTATCCATTGAGCCAAACTGATGAAAAAGTAACAGGCAGTGTGACAACCAAGGTTTCATAGATGTAAAACCCTCTGTCAGAGATTCTGCAGTTTGTAAACACAGACTTCTCCAGTGCTAGAACACCTGGCAGACCTTGCCCAACTAAAGTTCTGAAACTTGTGTTGCTGTCAGGTTAATTTTTGAAGGTTTTTTCCCCATCCGACATGCTGGGAAAATGGCCATTTACTTCAATATTTTCACAGAAAATATGGCGTAATTGAGGTTTCTGAATTAGGAGATTAGGCTCTTGATACACTCATTGGAATCGCCATAAATCTGATTAGGTACCTGTAAATGGTATCTAGCCGTCCAAAAGTCAGTTTAGGTACACTACGCAAGTGCTGTTACAATTAGAGGTCATGCATGTTTGCTAAGGACTGTTTTGTCATTTATCCTGTATTTCTCCACTGTGGCGGTGTTCTATGTTGATAGTTCATGTTCACAGAAGGATGGGACTTAATCCATTTTCTACAGTCTGCTCTTTATCACTCAGGTGGTTGAAAAATTTAACACATCTCACAAAACCGATAATCCATATAAGATTGTCCTTTGTAAACAGGAATCAATTATCATCCTGTATTTCTGGCCTAGTTTTTCAGATTTAAATTAATATAATTGAAATGCAGGCATTCTAAACTTTCAGAATGAAACATAGAACACTAAATCCACTGGTAAAAACTGCTTCTGCTAGAGAGGATAAAGGGTAGCATCACGATGTATTGCATCACTCCTGCACTTTTGAGCTTCCTTGCATTTTTAGCCACAGAGTTTGCATTGTTTTTTCCTCTCTGTATTTAATAATGTAAATAATAGTGAGGCATTTCATCCTCAGTTATGATAGAGGAATATTACACTAAAATGGTGGATGTAAATATATAAGCTTTTCTGCATTTTAGAGCTTTACAAGTTTGTGGCATCAGATAGTTCGCCTATTTTAGCTCTGCATTAGTTGCCTTCTGAGTAGAGATCTCCTGAAAAGCGAACTTAAAACCTCTGAATGGCCTAGATGATAGCTTATATAATTAGCTAGCTTTTATTTAGCAAGTTAACAAGTTACACGCATTTGCACAGAGGAATTTCAGAGTGCCATAGATCTATAAGTATACAATATCTGGTTCTGCACTGTAAACTGGATCAGGTTCATGAATACAGTTACTTCAGACTCGCATCAGTGTAACTGAGATGGGAGCATGGACCTGCTTTCTTTCAGAAACAGAAACTTGAATTTCAAGCCTCACCTCTGCAAGTAAACCATATAATTTTTTTTATTTTTTAATTTCAGTGTTAGGCTATATACCACTATAAGTAAATTTCAAATGCATCAGTATGCTTTATTAATGTGAATGGTGAGTATCCATTAAAAAATAACACCATGCATCCAAATCCAGCACAGCACTCAGAGTTTATAACCTGCTTCGGCCTGAGACTATGAAAGGTTTGGGCCGAATATTGTGCTTGTGTTCAAAGTAGTTCATGTCCTGTAAAGAAAAGAGGGTTAAAATAACTTTCTTTGGCCTACAAATGCTTATTTCTAGTTAAAAGTTAGCTAACAATCTTTTAAAATTGTAACCATGAAGTAAGCGTGTTTGTACGTTCCTGGTACTCAAAATACAATCACTTCAGTGTTCAGAAACATTCAGAGTAAGGTGCAGTTACAAGAGAGAAGGACAGTAGGTAGTGTTGCAGCCCAACATAGATGGCAAATTTTAGCTGCCTGGAGCGTTGCTACTACAGAGCTGAATGGACAGTTTTATGTGTTGGAAAAAATCACTTCATTTATCACCATTTTTTTTGGATAATCGATAAACTCCTGATTATCAGAAAAAAACAGCAAGAGCTGGACTTTTTAATTGACAACAGAACATACAGTGATAAACCACAAATGGCCATGTATTATAAGTAAATACAAGTACTCACTTTTGCGATGAGCTAGGAATGAGACCCCTCAGTTGTCCATGAAGCGCGTCTTGAATATTGCCAGATGAATACAGCCCAATTGGTGAATTATAGGAGGAGCTCACTACCTGTCTTTTGTCATCAATATTTGCTGCTGCAACAAAAGGCTGGGCCCTTCTGTTGTGAGCTGTACCAATAGGCTTGAATTCCTGTACATGATAGGCAGACAAAATACACAAAGCTACAATGCACACCAAAGCTAGTAATGAGTAAATCTGACAACATCAGTATTGTTAATCTCTGCATTTTTTACTTTTGCGACTGTTATTTTTTAACTGGTGCGAGCATAACTATATTTTCCCATGAATTTTCTATATGCTACTTAAGCCACACACATTCAGAGACTCTTGTTTTCCTGCCTCAGGGCAAACAGAAGGCGTTCCACATTTGTAAATAGCGTGCAACTTTAAGAAATGTGAGGGATAAATATTACAGTAACCTGTTTTATAGTTCTCTAGATTTTGCACTGTTTACATTCTTCTTTTAGAGACATTTGACGTATAGTTAGCTTAATTGCTTTGCTTTAGTGCTAATCTCTGGCTTCTGCTCTTTTGTCACATACTGATGGAGGGACTCACAAAAGTATAAAGATTTTACTATAAACATCTTGCATAGAAAACAGATTTTTTTTTTTAACAGTTCTTTTAGCAGAAATAGTCTCGAATATGCATCAGGTTGAGGACATTCTTCTGAACTTATTCCATACTTTGAAGCATACCTGTGTGTCAAAAATTGTGATGCTGTATAATTGGAAATAATTCTGCCTATGTTTATTTCTGGAATACGAGTTTGTTTATTGGTGGCCCAGATAATTTCCTCCAGTTGTGGAATTCACAGAGATAAGACCTGGAACAAAACTCTCTGATAATCTTTCAGATAACTTACAATGTTATTCTGTAGTGGTTGGCCAGGAATAATAAAGACTGCTGACTGTGTGAAAATTCACTTATTTGTATTATGCATACTTAGTACAGTCTTCTCTGAGTCCCTGTCAGCTCAGGTCCATCCCTAATCCACAGAAATACAGACTTTGGAAAAAATAGTGCTGTCATCTGCTGAGGGCTTTTTTTCCTTTTCTGATAGTGGATGAAGAATGTTTGCTGCTGTAGTCCATCCTCTTTTCCTATGTCCTGCAGCGGTCTTTGGAGACAGCACTGCAAGGGCACTTGAACGTCCATCTGTATGGAGTAAAAAGCCTTGTTCCTAACAAATAGTTTTCCACAATCTGAACTGGTCTCTTCTTTAGAGACTGGAACTTGCAATGTTAAGATAGCACAGGTCATTAATACTTCAACTTTCATAGCAATCACTGCCAGTTCTCTGATTTGGCTTCGGGTTTGAGTGTAATAGGTGTACTAGGAATACATCTACAATACTATAGAACACTTCTGTATTTATTTTGCTATCCCACTGTGTCATATGACCTGTAGACAGTCTTAAGTTCTGACACTGCTGAATGAGATTTATTTCAAATTGTTGAAACTTGTATCTTAGGTACCAGAGCTTTTGGCTTAATCACTGTGTACAGTTTACACTGTCTGGTATTTGCCATCACATAGTATTAATGGTGACACACCCAACATCTTCAACTTAAAAATTTTTCAGGTGCAATTGTAGTCTTTCACTTATGTCTTGCAAGCTGTACGAACTAGTCTCCTTGTTCTGCTAAATAAAATTCTAAACAAAGTGGGTTTTGATGTAGAAATGCCTTTTAAAAATTACCTTAGCCTTTAGGAATGCTAGAAAAATTTTCAGTTAGAATAAAGACAACCTGTTAACAAAAAGCAAAATAGATATTTGAATACTCAAATCAACAGAATAAATCAAGATAATAAGAATAGATTAGATAAGCATGGACACATTTTTGACATCTGTAGATTTTTCTTAATTCCTCAGAGCATTATTTCCTTTCTCAGACAATATCAAGTCTCTGTTCAAAGCTTTGTGAATGACTTCTAAAAATTATGAAAACCTGAATGTGAATCGGCGCTTTTGTTTTCATTTAAAACAACAATTTCAGAAATACATTTAGGAACAGACCTAAAGAAAAGTCATGGTTATATAGAATGTGCAACCAGAAAATGCAAATAGTAAAAAGCAGTTTTATTAAATGAAAATGTTTAGCAGCATTGCACTGTAAGAGGCTACTAAAAGCGGCAATCAGATAAATGAGCACAAAGACTTGACTTGCAATTCCTTGCTTCTGTCTGATAGAACTGGGTTGCAATTAACAAAAGGTATTAGTAAATGGAAATAATCTACTAGTATTTAGGATCATGTCTACTTAATATAAAATATTAATGTCAAAGTATTTAAAGTTGATTTAAATCCATGTATGATACAAAACAAACAAAACCAACCATGAACATTGTCATTTCATCCCCTTTTTTATTTCTTGTTGACAAATTAACAGCACAGAAGACATGTGACACCATAATAGCATGTTTACAATATAACAGTTGCGAAACAAGTATTTGCAGTTAGTTAGACTTAAATACCATTTTCTTTTAAACTCATGTATTCATATGAAATGTCAGTGACAGAACATACAGCAGCGAAAATAGTCCAGCTCTTGTGTTTATTGGATCTCATTGAATCTGTGAAAAGTCCTCCTTTAGTTCAAAAGCTAAATGAGAACTGGAGGTTGTTGAAAATCCTAATCAGGAATATTTGAGAATTGCAGTATTTCATTTCTTAATTTTTTTTCTAGCTGACTGATGTCCTTTTTGCAGGGCTAACTGCATTTTGCATTGATATAAGTATCAGGAATAGAACGAAGGTAGCCCCCAAAGTCTGTCAAAATCTATCCAACACGGACCAAATGATGGCATTCCTTGGGGATAATTGCTGTGACAGTACACAGATGTTTACATTTTGGAGGTATCTTGTGGCTAAAATCTTCATCTCTGAATGCTTTTATGGAAGAGGGGGTAGGTCGTCAAAACTAGACTAGCACAATTATATTGTTTCAAAACTTGGTTATATGTGGTAATAGACTACAAACTTACTTTTTAGAACAGTGGGGTTTGGGTTTTTTTTTTTATATTTTTATACTTATCTATGCGTATAGTATATTTATATCTCCCAGGGATGTATAATGTCTTTCATGGCCAAAAGCCTAGTTGCACTGAACAAAATGTTCAAAGGCAAAGATAGAAGCAAAAAAGAAAAGCCCAAATAAAAACAATTCAAGAAATTGTGGTAATGGAAACAAATTCATCTTAGATGAAGCTGAAGGGATTGTAACTGAGAAAAAATTTACAGGTCATAGTGTTGTTTTACATTGACAATACAGCAGAAAGGATTTTAAAAATAATTTTATAAGACACAGTTTGCAATTTAGATTGGTTTTTTTTCTCTTCCTGATTATATTCTTCCAGAAGCTTATGTTCTAAATTGCTTTTATACAGAACACGATGTGATTGAATAAGTAATACTTCAAGTAGTCTGTTATTTCCTGTTGTTTATCCATCACGCTATAGGTTGCTCCAGACTAATGAAATTAGGTGGCTGGTTCTTATGAGGGAATGTGTAGCTTTCAAGAGTGGCTCTTGGTCAGCCACTTATTGCTGTAAGTTACTTACTAGAATTGTTGCCTCAGTTTCCTCTCTCCAGAGACGAGAATAGTGAGAGCTTTTGTTGTGCTATGACAATTGCCTGTAGCAATCTCCAAATGACTCTTTGGGGATGCTCAGCCTAATGCAAAAGTTTGCTATGGCATAAAGGTTCCTGTTCCATAGCTGCAGGTGGGCACAGTATTTAGTTGTTTATCAGTTTTGACATAACCCTCTCCAAGCACCTGCAGAATAATTTTCATTCATTTAAGCTAAAGTAAGCATTCTTTGGCCAAACATTTGGCTAAATTGCTGAACAACTTAAAATAAATTTTAATTTATAACTATCTTGTATTAGCTTGCAAATAGAATTTAGATACTTACTAAGTAGACTGTGTAAGTCTGCATCTATTATTATTTAGTTGGCTTATAATGTATTTTAAATTATTGACTTCCCTTTGTGAAACTTGTTGGTGAACTTTAAAATGCCTATTTGGCAAGAGTGAAAAAAATCTGACTACAGTTATAACATCTGTGACCTTTGCATAATTTGAATTATTATTTAAGTGGAAATGCTTCTTATAGAACTGAATGATTTTCCATTTCTGCACACCAGTCAATGTGTACAATACTTTTGGATAAAAGTGTTTTACAGTTGTCGGAATACTATATGGCTTTTGGATTTTTCTTCATTCGTCTGAGTTTCCATGCCTTTATTGTTGGATTTCAGCAAATTCTAATATGACATAAACAGCACAAGTTATAATTGAGCAATAATTTGTTATCTGAGGTTAAAGAAACTTTGATGTTGTACTGTTTTCACTATTGGTATACATGCTGCTGGGTCTTGTGTGTTGTGACTAAAGTAAAATTTAATTTAAGATTTCAGCAATTGTAGGAAAAAAGGCTGTGTTTTTTTCCACAGGGAGATCAGTGTGATGGATCTTTTGATGGAAGAATTTAATCTAAAATTTAAATCATCCCTAGAATGGTTTAACATATCTGTTTACAGGCTTTGCTACTTTCTGGTGCCTATTATTTATTAAATATACTCAGTACTCCCGATTTTCCTAGGAAGGAAAGAGGGAGACATACTAAAATGAAGAGGTTGCCTATTTAATCTAGGAGAAACAGTTTTTCTGATTGCCCAGCAGAGACTGCTTTTCAATATTCTGCCAAATAGCAGTCAGTGAAATCTTGTGATTTATTTTTAATTAACTATCCTTTTTAGAATGCAGCTTTCATGCAAATGGATTGCTCTCCTGTCATACATGCCTACATGGTTTTCTCTACAGCTTTTTTAGTGAATTTTTTCCATTGCTATTATCTTACGTACTTCCTAGCTATTCCACAAATATACGCATTTAAAATAGTTTTGTTTCTTCACTATACTGTCTCCTACTACTGAAGAGGCTCTGTTACTTATGATGAGGTTTGCTGTATCACCTAATGCAAGTTTGTAGATTGGAAAGAAGAGAGAGAATGGGAACACTGAAATGCCATATTCATGTTTTGGAGTGTCTCTGTGAAGACAGAATTGGTGGAAATATTTATTGCATAGGATTTACTGAAATGGAATCTGCACTTACATTTTTCTACGGTAGCACAGAATAAATACTTTGACATACTTGCTTTGATCCTGGAAGGCCAGGATCAGCAGAATGCTCTTCCCTTCTCTCTCTTGAGAGAACAGCGAAGGTTCATATAGGTTAAAGAGGAATGACAAAGGAATAAAGCAGTAGTTGTAGACAGCTGCTAGCTAATTAACTGTTAACAGTACAGAGACTTTGGCTCATAGCTTTGCACAAGGGACTGAGTGCAAGTTTGAAGAGAGAGAATTTTAATTGATTGGATTTGCTTTGCTCATTCACAAGGATCAAAACTTTGCTCGCTAGAAGTAGTGAGTGGTTTGCATATTGATCAGTACAGGGGTTTTGTACAAATTTGTAACTTTCAGTTCTGTGGTGTAGTACAAAAATGTATGGAAGTAAGAAGACCCAGTATTAATGGATCTCTATAACTGACTGTTACATCACAATGACTTTTGTGATGTGCTGAGTATATTGCTTTGGTACTTGACATTTATTCCTGACTGAAGAACTTCCTCATATGACGAAGTATCTCTAAGAGTTAAAGCAACTTAAACCGTATCAGAATAAAAGGAGATATTTTCTTTCCGTGATAAAACTATGGTGATACATACAGTTTTAAAGAACAATGAGAATGTGTTGTAACCTGTTAATGTTTTGTTTCAGTTATAGCTGAAAAATCAGAAACATCCAATCAGACAAAATTATGTTCATACATATCATAATAATGATGGTTTGTATTAGCTTAAACTGGCAGATGAAGTGCTATTCAAAGAGTTTTAATGACCACAAGGGAGATCATTTAGAGTGTAAAAAGGCGAATAGAGATGGTTAGGTAACTTTTAAGAATTCATACCTGTGGTTCAGCTTCCAAATTTATCTTGAAGGGATGTGGTTTGCCATCTTCTGAAACTTGTGGGGACCATAATTTAGTTCCTGACCTAGAAAGAAAGAAAGGAAGGAAGGCAGAATTTAAATAACTCAAATTCCTGTAGAGTTGTATATGTCCCTGTAAAATATAATGCAGCTTGAAAATTTGCAGTTTGTTCTATGCTTTTTTAATGTTTTGACATAAATATACTTCAGCGATTATATATAATGTGTACTGTATGTAAACAATATATGAAAAGTGTATTTACTCTTTAAAAAATTATGTATGCTATGAACAATGGGAAACAATTTGTTTGTAGTCATGAAAGGCAAAGGGAAATTAGTGCCTTTCTGAACTGAGATGACCACACATTTTACAGTTTTGGTTTTTTAATAGTTGATAGAAGGAATGTTGGGTCCTCAGAATATTTTGCACAAATAAGTGAATATCTTAGTGATAATCCTAAACCGGAACAATATCAATTTTTTTTTTTATGACCACAATATCCATGCAAAGCCTGCTTTTCAATGTAGGAGTGCAAGCTAGGTATGCAAAGTGTATGTGCAACTGTAAATAGAAGTTGCACAGATGATTCTTTCAGTCACTGAAGCAGAGATAGCAAACATGCAAATACCATTTACAATTCTGTTTTCACTGACAAAGCGAAATTTGGCAGCTAATTTTAAAATAGTGTAATATTAATGTTAAATATTAATCTAGTGCTGTTTGCTATATAAATACAAATATCTAGCATTTTAAAAATGTGCACATATTATTTCATAGGCACAATTACGCTTATGTTTTGAAATTTACTTCCTAAAGAGAGTTGCTAAATGGCATACATCAATCTGTAACAGAACCCAGAATTAACTGCAGGAATTTTTTAACTGTGGTATGTGCTCTAGTAATTAGACAAGGCTCCTTCCAAAAAAACCAACCTGCTGTATTTGGAAAGGAATATTGTGGTCAGCTGTAATAAAGTGCTGTGCCTCCTCGAGGGCTTCAGGTCAATCAGAGCTGTCTGATTCTTGGAGACAGCTGAAAGAGCGTGCTAGGTGATTCTGATTAAGCTGAGCAAACTCAGGAGATATGAAGATGCAGGTTGTTTCTCTTGCTGGCTTTAGTTGAGAGAAACAAACACAACAAGTTTCTGGACTCCTGCAGTTTAGGTAAGAGAGAGTTTTCTAGTTTAGTTTTGTTTTGAACATTGCTTTGAGTATCCTGTGTTTGGTTTAATACATTGTGACCAAAGAGGTGGGCTTTAAACCCCCTCCTTTGTTACCCCTTATGAAGGTCTGACATGATGTTGCTTTCCTTAACTGGGAGGATTTACCAGTAGCTTGTCTGTGATCGGGAGCAGGAGGCAATGATAAGCACCTGTGGCTGAGGGAGTGTTAGAGCAGAGAGGCAGCTGAACAAGTGATAGCTAGCTGAAGGTTTTATTATTTCCCCAAAATATGAAGGACTGTTTGCTTACTGACAGCAAACACAGGACTTGTGGAGTTAGCAGAGGTAGTAGGTGGTATGGTTCAGAGCCCAGTAAATGTGGTGAGTAGCCTGAGGGAAGCTATTCCTCTTGTGCCCGTGAAGACATGTTCTGGGGAGTCTTGCCTGATCTGGAGTTGGTGAGGTGTGTCTGGGTGCTTGTAATTTTAAAGGTTTTGTGACATTCTTAAGATTATTTAAAATAGTTACACTATATAATAGTTGTACTGTACAATTGGTTGGGTAGTATTTCCTTCCAGAAATTAAGCAGACATGTATACATACCTCTCTATTTTCAAACAAAGCTGATGTGCGGCTGCTTTAATTCTCTCCTGGGCGTCATTATGTGTCATGTTCTCTGTGCTTAGCCCATCAATAGCTACAATAACATCACCAGGACACAGGTTGGCAGCTGAAGCCTTACTTCCAGGTGTAATCTGAAAAAAACAGAATTTAACTGTTTAAGCACCATGCATACCTGAAAATTGATAGAGAAAATAAACTTCACCATGCTTCCCTATTTCCTATTGGGCTAGGGAGGGAGAGAGAGAGTGGGCCTGTAAACAACTATATGATTGCTTCCAAAAAAAGTGAGTTCTTAATTCTGCCAGACCCTCTGTAGCTCTATTGTTAGATCACCATATAAATGCTTTATTCATCATAACTTCAAATTAGGCGGAAATTATCTTCACACTTCTGTGTTAAATAGTTTGCACTATGATTTCTGTAGTTACTGTAACTTGTCTTTGAATCTTCTGTCTCAACTGCCATTGTGTAATTTGCTTGAAATAGTTACGTTTTTCCCTTACAACTCCAGGCAGCAGCAGAAAAATAGAACTGTTAAGAAATTGCGCTACCTAATGTTTATGTGCATGATGTGCCAATGACTGGATAAAGCAGAAAGCCACTTGCGGTCTTATCACATTTAAGGACAAATACAGCAGTTGATGTGTCTTCTGCTAGCCTGGCCTCTCATGTTGTATCGCTAAGTAATCATAAATATACTAATAATACTGAAATGACATTTTTTTCTTTATTCATGTCTAATCCAGACCCTGAGCTCCTTAAAGTGCTTCGCTTAGGTCCCATTGCATTTGACTAACAGTGGTCCTGATCCTTCAAAGTGATCTGTGTGGTGCAATTCATACCTCACGGAAGTGTACCAGTGTTAGTGGCATTCATAGAAATAGCCCTAGGCTTATCTTTCTATGCTTGCTTTTTTTTTCTTGTCTTGTTGATAATCTATATCATGGTTAAAATAATTGAAATGCAACATAATTCTGTTTTAAAATAACTACCGTAGAGAGGCCATGACCTTAGATACTATTAAAGCTTGTTCTAGAATTGCAGGCCTTTATTTGTAATCATGTGACTTCTCATACCACCACACCATTTAAACAGGTCTTTGGTCACTGACTGGGATTTTAGGTCCCTTAGGTGTATTGCCATTTTAGGTGACCTTTGATAACCCAGACAGCAACATGAAACTGATGGATGTAGCACAGAAATTTCTGAAATTCAGCTCTTCTAGAACAGCAAAACAAAGAGGGCAGGTTGATTCATCTAAAGAAACACTAGCTGCTTATTTTTAAGTAAATGAATCCCAGTGTCAAGGACAAAAATATGAATATAGTCTTACAAGAGCAGTTCTCTGATCTGTGCCATGTATGAAGTAAAAAAGCTATTGGAGAGAATTTATCTCACCGTGGGTTCTGCTATGGCCAAAGCAAGTGCTACCTTAGTTATTAAAAATAATGAAGTGTTATGGAGGACTGAAAAATGTGCTACAGAGACATCCTTAAATTCTGATGTTTTCAAGTAGAGGAAGAGAGTAAGCTGCCCTTATACCTCCAGTATGTTCTGAACCCCAGCCATAGTAAACCTGGCAGATTTGCTGCCCCTGAAGGTGACAGTGCTAACTGTCAGCATAAAAGTCAAGTGGAAATATTCTTTCTGATATGTGTTGCACTGTATTAGTATTGAAACAATGGCAAAAATCAGCCAAATAGAGTAATTCTCTCCTCTTTCCAGCTGTCCATCTCTGTTAGGTGGATCTGAATGCTCAAAGAACTTAGTTTGTTTTATGGGCTTTTTTCTTCATTCCAGCATCTAAACTTATTTTTTATTTCACTTTAACAAACTGCAATGCATGTGCTATTATCAAGGCAGGCAAACTTTCCAAATGGGTACTTGTGGCCAGCTGGAGGCTTTTAGCCCTTCACCCTCCAAAAGAATGGACTCGTGTGTTGGGTGTTTAACAAAGTGTTAAGGTGCCTTAATAATCTGAGCATGAATCTGGGAAGTTGCTCATAAATTCTAAGCCCAGAGTCTCCAAAATGTTCTGTTTCTCAAACTTCAAAGGCTGTAAGTGTAAATGAACTACACTGAGGCCACTTACATTATTGTAATAAGACAGGGGTAGAGGTATGATAATGCTTCTTCTCCCTTTAACATGGAATGGCTCCTGACTTTGCTTAGCATGTTGTGGGTGTGCATGGAATGACAATCTGCAGCAGAAGTCTTAGTGTTCGAGTGTGACTGCTGATGCTCTGATACCCAAAATGGGCAAAGCCAGCCATGCGTGGTTCCCTCTCAAGAGTAAGCTTGCTTGAATAATCCTCACATGCGTTACTTGGTAGATTATGCTTTTTACGTGGCACAACAAATCATCTGCTGTATCTGTGGCATACCTCAACAATGTACTGAGATAATGATCCTGCCTTATAAAGTAGGGTATCTGTCTAGCAGCTGCAGCTGTGCTGCTAGCAGGACCCGGCCCACTCGGTGTTGCTGGTAATAATGCGCAATCCCTTGGATTTTCTTAACATATTTTCACCAGCTGCAGTGATACCACTATATGGTTGGATGCGAATACCATTGTTTGGTGGGAGCAAGGAGGGAAGGGGGCAGGAATCTGTTTTTCCTCTTCCTGAGCTGAATTGATTATTGCCAGGCTTCTGGGATGTGTCTGTTGGCCTGAACGCCTTGATGGGGGTGCTGAGCTCTACTTGCCCAGGCCTTCTGGGGTGCAGAACTACATTCCCTCGTATAATCCTTTCCCTCATCTGCTCTTCCTGGGTTTGATGGAAAGACATGGAGATCTGCCACTAGGATGGGGTAGGAGGAATACAGCCGGGTGCCAGCTCTTCTCTCTCCTCAATATTTTGGGGGGAAATCTTGACTGTTGCTTGTGGGGAAGGGGGGCAGACAAAAGTACTGCAGACTGCATTTTACAGAAAGGGAACAGGTTGTACATTGCAAGGTCCCACCATGGTATATACGTGTAATATTGATATTGTGGTACCTCAGTAATGGGATACTGTTTCTTAAGGAACTTACTAGCAATGCATTAAATGTGTATTGTGAATGCTTAGAATCATGTTATGATTGTAATGTTTGTTGCTTGCTCATCCCTGCTGCATGAGATAGATTCTACTGGTGCTTTGAGAAAATTTTTGCCTTGCTCTTCAGGACGTGTCTGTATGGCACGCCTGTTGCTCTTGTATCCTAGGTATATCAGATTTGGATAAATGCAAGGATATGTGTTGAGCATGCAGATGGTGTCAGGGACTAGGTAACTAACTAACCACATAAAGGGGCAATGTCTCCTATGAAACTTTGAAGAAAACATCTCTGCATCTGACTTGTGAAGCTCATCATGGTACTCCTTTGTAAATATTTCGGGCTCTGTGTTTTCTGAAAAGAATTATGAATGTCTGCAGACAGAGTTGCTAAATACAAAATTGAGTTAATATAAATATTTGCATTGTGATCTGTAAACGTGCATAGAACTTAAATCTAGAGATGATAATATTTCGCCATTCCCTCCAACCTCTACAAGGTTTAATTGTTTCTGTAATGCTTTATTCAATATGACTTAAATTCTAGGATTACATTCCTCTAAACACTTAACCCAAAATGTTATCTTGTGGTCAGAATAAACTCAAATTATTCAGTTTCATTAAGACTAGGTTTTGATCAGTTTCATTGATGTAATTTCTGTGCATCTATGTAGATGTCTAAGGATTTCAAGAAATGTTTTCATTATGTCTAGTTAATTCACTGTTTCTGAACCTAATAGAATCTGAATATGTCTATTTTTAGTCCCCTCCTGTTCTTCCCAGCCTCCCAGTGATCGTGATCTGTGGTTTTTGCATTTGCTTGAAACAGTCAAGAGAGTTGCCTTGCTTGGGAAATCACAGATGGGCTTTTGAGATGACATCTGTTCTCTAGACAGGTGGATGATGATCTCTTACGTTGTCTGTCTCCCTTGACAAGTCCCAGTATAAGCTTTCTCTTGTTGAACAAGGACTATATCCAATCAAACGTGCCACCTGTCCAATTATTGTATTCAAAATGTGTTTAAAAATAATTTCTCTTTATTGTTTTAGTGGCTAATATTTTTTTCTCTTGTCAGGACAGCTAAGCCAAATGTGCATGGGCTGCTGGTGATACCTTTTATGAAAGGAACACCTAGGCCTGCAAAAGCAAGGCACATGAATCTTGCAAAATATTCACTACTTCTTAAGGGGTACTGCATGAATACTTATTTAGGGACTCTTCTAAATGTATGTTGTGGCAACAAAAATATTAATTTGAAACTAATTTACCATTAATATTCTTGATCTTGAGCTAAGCAAATTTAAACATGTCATTTTTTCCTACATATATTTTATTTCATAGTTGAAACGTGATTTTGAGCATTTCTGTAATATGCTAGAAACCGATGGCTTGTGTCTTGTAAGGCATTTGGTAGGTATGAGTCAAATGCAAAATAATTTATTCTTTAGAAAGTTACATTTATAGTAACATCGTTTGTTATTGCAGTTTTAAACTTCATTGCACTTAATCTAAACACAAAGAAAATACAAACCAGGCACTGCTAAAATATTTTTCATTAGAGATAATGGAAACTATTTTTCTTTTGGAGGCCCATAAAAGGCAATGAAGGCCCCAAAACATCCAGAGATTTTTTCTTTTTCATTGAATGTTTTTGTCTACTGTTTCTCCAAAGGTTTTACTATGTCCTAGGAGTATTTGTTATGAAGCTACATACAGTCAAATAATAGCAGCCTGGTTTACTTCTATTTAAAATAAGTAAAATCTTTTATGCTTATATAAATATGGAATAAGTGTTTAAATGAAATTAATTTTTAGTAGTATAATATGTAAAAGGTTGGTCCCTAAACTTCCTACAGTATCTTGTTTAGAAGCATATTTATTGCAAAGCATCACCGGTGGTATCTGTCCTTCAAGGCTCTTGACGTTTATTTAATACCAGGCATAGTGTATATATTGAGTCATAGTGCAAGGCTTTTTTTAAAAAAAAAAAAAAAAAGCATTGCTGATTTGGAGGCTCACGGAGCACTCACTCGGTGTGTCTGAGCTTCTGAGAAGCAGCAAAAATATAAGGAGAACTAATTCTAGCCTGATATGCAGTGACCAAATTTTCAAAACATACCAATTATCAAAATACATAACCTGTCTTTCAAGTAGATCTATATCTGTAGATGCAGGGCAGCTGACAGTGGTTTATATGCTCTATTCATTGAATAACTGGTTTCTTAAATAAATTGCAATTAATAGCTCAAAATCCATGAAAAAATGAAGGCTTGAATTCTTGCCCTTTATTAGACGTGTAAGGTAAATTGTCTGTTTCTAAATATGGCAGAAAACACCAAAGAGCTCTCTCCTCCATATTCAGGACTGGATAACTTTCTAATAATTCACTGATTTAACATTCGTGAAAGTGAAAACCTTTACATATGTAAAACCAGGTGCTGCTACCTTTGCTGGCAATAATCAGAACTTGATTTAATTAAATGAGAGTCAGATTAATCTTGTAAAGTTGGCACGGAGTTAGCAAAGCACAAACTTCCAGACGTGAGGAGCTGCTGCCAAGTAGTCTTCTCCCCCAGTGATCACAGAGGCTAGTCGTGAAAATGATAAAAGTGGGGTCTGGCCTTAGTAGGCTCAAAACTAATTTTCTCATCTGAATGCCTGGGGAAATCATGCCAGAGTTTTTCTGCTGCCAAGGCACTTAAATTCAGTTTTTGAGGCATAAGTACAAAGGCAGCTAAAGTTTCTTAGACCAATAAAGCAACCCCAGAAACATGTCACACACAACTTGTAAAAACTGTTGGCATTCAGCTGGCTCTCCTCAGAACTAGCAGCTACTTGCTAATTTACTTACAGCTTCATCTGCCTCCCTGCACTCCCGAAAAGTAAAGGGCAAAAATCTGCAATCGCTAATAAATATAATAAACAGAAGGGAAATGGAAAGAGTACATACCCTGGTTATGATTAAGGGTTGGTTAAAATCTATTCCTCCTGAGAGCCTGAATCCCCAGGGTGCCGGTCCTTGGAGAATAACGTTTTGTGGCATTTCTGGGCAGGTTTTTCTTGGTTACTGTTCTTTTTCCTCAGGTCTGCGTGAGGAGCCGAGCTGTAGGAGGAAGGGTGCTGTCAGCAGAGCACCTGCCAGACAGGGCAGCCGACCTCGTATACCTCTTAGGAAGTTTTCCTCATCCCACAGCTGTGGGCACTGCACTTTATCCATGCTCTTTGGGTGACGTCAGCCAGTCCCTCGGCTTCTCCACCCACAGAGGGGAGTATCAAACTCGGACAAGTTAAGCCTGAATGCTGGAAAGTTTACAACAAATACATCATCTTTATCTGCTGCTTCAGTGTCCCCCTCGGCCCGACAATCAGTAAGCTTCAGGATGCTGTGTCCTTCTGGTTTCTTAAAGCAACCCTGTTGCTCATTTGATATCATGCTGATTGCATTACTGGGGCTTGTCTCATATACGCAATGCACTGCGCTGACTGTGTACGCGACTCTGATTCATGTAAACAGAAATATTGATAAGGAGATTTCCCTCTCGAGCTCTTGTTTTACATCTTGTCTTATTTGTAATGTAATAGTTTATTGCACTACAAAGTCCTCCCAGCCCTTCAGCTGAGTTTTTTCGCTACAGTCACTTGAGACCATGGCGTACACCGACTCTTAATGGCTTGAAGAATCTGGACTGTTAGGTGATGATGTCTCTTCTTGTAGAACTCTTAGCTCTTTTTAAGTTAGTAGCAGATACTTTCTGTTGGTTGTTGGTGTTACTGAATAAACACTTTGCATTCCCTTTGGTTTTCTTGCATCCGCTTGATCAGCTTTATTCTGACTTCTGTATCCCTTATATTTTCTTCAAAAAGAGAGGGAGAATTTTTCAATGATGGTGTACGCGTTCACTGACTTTCTTATCACGTTGTTACAGATTTTTCTTTATATGTGATATAAAGTGAGTATGTGCATGGGTAATGTTCTTCAAGCATTTCTTTGCCCAAAGTTGCACCTAGTCTAGGATAATATCTACAGCTCTCATCAGGCAGGATTTTTTTTTTTTTTTAATTTTTTTTTTTCCTCTTTTCTTTTTTTCCCACAAATGAGTCAATAAAAAGCCAGTGAGAGCTTGGAAAGGATGAAAACTCATGAGGATATATATTTTTGGTGTAATAAGCCATTTTTACTCATTCCATATGCTTTCCTTTGTTACTATTTGTAGCCTGCTTAGAAGAGTCTTTGGGAAACAAGAAAGAGCAGTGAGTGAGATGGAAGAATAAAATGCAGGTTCGTGCCATTCATGTAATTTCTGATATGGGTAATTTGTTTATCTGTAGATTTCAGTTGGCTTCCACCTCTTACTCTGACTTGTTGAATGTCCTTATCTGTGTCTGCTGTTAATGTCTGTGTGATTGAAGTCCTTCTCAGAAGATATACTGGGTTTTGTTGGGAGTTGTGGTGTTTTTTTAGTGGTGTGGGGTTTTTTTTGTTTGTTTGTTAGTACTATGAAGGTTAGCCTCAGAATTTTTTTTCTGGTGTTTGTCCTTTATTTGTGGCTTGCTAGTAGATAGTAGCGTTCATCATGGGGTTTTGTGTTTGTGTTCTTATCCAGAATGTTTGAAAAACCTTCTCTATCATTAGAGTATATTTGACATCCTCATTGGAATAAAATAAATGACAGTAGCTGTTTCAAAGAAAGCTATCAGAAAACATACCTGTATCACAAAGAGCTTGCAGTGTGACAGTTGTCCTGAGTTTACATTAGGGATGTGAAGGAAGATAGAGATTTAAAGAGCTAAGGCAAGGTGGATATATAGTTCAGGGATATATCAGTCTTGGTAGCTTAAATATTTTGTCTGTTTTGAAGCTGAGGGGGAAAAAAACCCCTTATTCATTGTGAGCAGTGTATATACTCTGATATGTTCTGACATGTTTTGGGGTTGATTCAATATATGACTTTAATATATTGACACTCTATGTGGTTCATCCTGATGGATTACATTGCATGTTCAAGGCCATAGTTTATCACTGAGTAGTACTTCAGTTTCTTACCTTTTCTCTTCCTCCCTGATACCTGTTTTGAGTGAAAACAATTGTGTGTTTGGTACCCTTTCCCCCCTCCTCCCTTTTCCTAGTGAATCCTGTGGTGTCTTTTGATTTGTAGCTGGGAACATATAGCGTATTAGATGTCTTCATTTAAAGAGTTCAGTCACGTGCAATTTGCCAGTACTCAATGAAAAAGAAAATGTAATCTCAAATAGTGAATCCTTCAGTGTACTCCAATAGAAAAAGATTCAGAAGCAGGAATTTCTGTATCGGGTCAAAGCCATGATCAGACTCTGAGTTTCCATTGTCAAAAATCAGATACTTGTAGAATAACTTGCTCACTTGGGAGGTTTCTTCAAAATTCCTGGTGGTAAGTTATTGGCTTATATCTTAATATGTAGGCTTACATTTATTTATTTACTTTGGAAATCCTGTTTATTTCAAATCCTGCTAAGTGTTTTAACTGCTGGTGAAGTAGCAATGAGGTGGTCATTTAGGGACAGCTGTTGGTCGGTGAAAATAATTTGGGATTGCTTAAGTGTCTGTAAAGTTTGTTCAGGTCTCTATTATACTAAGATCTGCTCATGTGTCCCTTCTATTCTTGTTAGATACAGGTAGGGAAGGACAGGCTTAACCTTTTTCTAGGCAGGTGATTGCTCTTAATTTCAGGGGAAGTCATATGCTTATATGAGACTGGGCTCTGGATCAAAGATTTTTTTTCTGCTGGTTTACTGGAAGGGTGACTTGCTCTCCAAGGTGCTGTTGTTCCAGACACCAATTGCTAGATCCTGTTTCATTGAGGTATCACATGTTGAGCTTTAAGTCTATTTACACTTTTTTTCCCTATAACTCTAAAAAAATTTATGATTTTTAAAGGCAATACTGAATTAATTCTTGTGACATAAGGCTGTTTCCTAGTTTTTTTCCAGTGACTGCCTTTAAAATAAAGTACTTTACCTCTTTACAGAGTATGTGTACATTTTTTATCTCTCTAAAGCCCTTCTGTTTTTTTGTACCAGACCAAGATGACCTGCTGAGCTGGATTGAGGCTAGAGCATATTATCCACTTAATGAAGGTATATTCCCATCAGTGAAATAAAGCCTGTTTTCTTTTCCTCTGTCTGGTTTTAAGACAACTTACATACAAGACTATTATCCCGAGGCAGGCTTTGCTAGACATACTGAGCAGCTTCTAAATAAGAAAATATTGAAATTAAAGATTCATTGTAATAAAATTGAGTAAGATGAGTCTTCTAAGATGACAGTACAGATTTCAAACTACGTATCTAGGTATAGTGCGCTCTGCTCAGAATTTGGGCGTTAATAATAGTTATAGCTATGAAAAAGGATTTTTGTAAATATGTGTGGTTTTTTTTCTTGTTCCATTGAAGCTTCCATATAAGAAAAATGTTACTTTTAACAGCTTTTCTTGTTTTGTTATACTAGAGGATCATTGGTGTTACAACTTACCTGCAGATATACATCCTCTGATTTAATGGCTGTGCTATGAATTTATGTATAAAGTAGCCTTCTCAAAATCATAACATAGCCTTCTGGTTTGTACTGTGACTAACCATAATGTTTGAATCAGGCTCTTGCTTTCTAGTTTAGTATTTTATTTGATTTTTGTGCCAAACTTTATCTTTCTACCCAATGCAATCTGAAAGAGAAAACGAAAAAAAAAAGAACACCCCTTCCCCCCCCCCCCCCCAATTTTTAAACTATTTTTTAATTGAAGTGGGATCAGAGGAGGGGTAGACTGTGTGAACTTTCTTCATATCACTCAAGTTTTTGAGATTTGGGGCGTGGGGGTGCAGATTTGGTATCAGAGTAGTAGTGTGGTGTACAAATTCATCGTTGCATACCCTGCCACCTCACATCAAACCCCTGTTTTGCATTGTTTTTCCCCTGGCATTACCAAAAGGCACGCTTCCTAACTCACGTCAGAATGTTTTTGGATGTTGGTTTTCTATTTTCTCTCCCAGTGCGTCCCTGCCTTGATGGAAGGAAATGTTTTCCTGACAATTTGGCAGACCAAGAGTTTAAAAATAAGTTATAAGTAGCAAATGTTTAACACCAATTCATCCTTCTGTAAACGTATGGAGTGCTCTGGTGCAGGCTGCAGAACTAGAATAAACCCTGGTAGAGGCAGAAACAAAAAAACCCTCTTCAGAGTGTGCATTTTAAGCCATAGATCTCCTGTTCCATTTCAGAGCTTAGACTCTGTCATGATAAACTGTACTGGACTAGGCCACTGTTTGTGAAGTTTAGACAGTAACAGCTTAGGATACCAAATGGAGCTTGAAAATCACTTGCACATGTGGAACAGCATGTACTTAAACTGGCTCTCCAGAGGTGAAAGGCCAGAGTATTCCCTACTGCACAGCCTGGTTTGTATTTCAAAACACATGGGTATACGGGAAATCTTCTTATAATAAATGCTACTTATTTTAAAGCAATTTCCCAAAGCAGTAAGATATGACTGTTTATGTACCACTTGAAGATTTTCCGAATTGCACAGTCAGGGAGCAGGCACGGTTAATAACTTGGATGCCGGTGAACTTTTCATATCAGCTTTTGGTTAGTGGATGTCTGATAAATTAGCAGTACCCTTAGATTTTCCTGGCAAAAATCCTCTTTCCTTTTCCTAGCTGGTATGACAAGCAGCTCTGGTATTCTTCTCATGCACCTGGTAAAGAAGAGGAGTGGGGGTCTGGTACTGTACCCCTCTCCCAGGCGTTAAAAATTTCTAGGCTGGAAGTACATGTGAGGTGAAGAAAGACATTCCTACAGCTCCTTGCCACCCGCCCCAGCTTTGTGGTTGTTTTGAAACAGTGATTTGTCTCAACTGTGCTCTCATTTTAAACTTTCAGTTACCCTTTTCCACAAAGCTCTGTTACTTTTCCCTGCTGTTTAGGTTCTGAGTAGCAAAATGCAACTGATAAGCACCTTCTTAAATTTTCTGTCTGCAGGCTCAGGAAGACAGGCATGTCCTGTCTTGGTTC